AAAAGGTGTTATGATCTTATACTTTTAAAAATTATTTTTTAAAGTTTTAATATTACATTGAAGATTTTGTAGAACTACTGCTCCCAATCATCTGATCACTGAAGATGGTCTGACAATGATAGATAAAACCTCCTTATCAGTAATGCATCAGAGTCCCACAACACTACTTTCCATATTCAACAAAGCCTCTCTTTGCATAGATATATACACCTGTGTAAAAACAGAACATTCATACAGAGGCCAGCGTGCCTTAGAAAATAATTACAGAGGCAGTAAACTTTTTACACCAAGAAAAATAAAATGCTGGGTGCCTCATGGAATTTCAGAACCTGATTTCAAAAGGAACATCATAAAGAGGAAATAAAACTTAGCATGGTGGATTGCTCTTCAGGATATATTTGTAAGTATGAGATTCTATAAAAGAGCTGACAAATACAAGAATGTCAGCTTGATATAAATGACTAGTGGATGCTGATTTCCATGGCAGACTGGTAGAGCTGTTTGTATGGTTTGTTATAAGATATATGTGTGTGTGTGTGTGGTGAACACATATGTCTTTGCCTAGGCTAGGTTTTCTTTACTTAAAATAAAACTTACAGTCACTCCATGTATCAATGAAGCCTCTAAAGTGAGCAATACAGGAAATATTTCAGGCTTTGGGTATAGTACATTCTTTTACTTTATGTATTTTTGTGTGTACCTTTGTGTGTATGCTTAGATAATGAGCTATTATAAAAGCAGATATGCCAGAATTATTTGTTTCAAAAACATGTACAGTAAAACCTGCAAAAGCCAGAACCTATATAAGGTGAACACCTGTCGGAGAAGGGAACTCAAATTTTTTACACTAATAGAAAGCAATAAAATAGTGGTAAGTTGCACCCTGTTAAAAGTGAAGAACTTGCCAGACTCGGGAAAACAAGGCAGTCCTGTTGAGTTCCTGCTTTCACAGGTTTTGGTGTATTACTAAATGATTCTTTCCATAATTTTCTTAGCCCAGCTCATGCCAGGTGTGGATTGTTGTAGGGTTTATCTGAAGCACTACTGACCTTTATGGAATTTCTTGTTTTTTTCATGTTACACATAAGCACAGATACACAAAATTACTTGTTTTAAAAAAGAAGAATTTTGTGTTCTATAGCAAATAAAATCTCATAATAATATAAATTGCTCCAAATTTTTCTAAATTTTATTTGACTTGTCACACCATAAAATAAAACACGTTGAAATGCAACATGTTCCGTTTGTAATGGGATATAATTTACTGATTTTCTATCAAGATAATAAAAATTTAAATATGTGAAAAGGCTTGATTTAATAAAATTCCTTTATTTTCATATCTCTTTGAGGGAGATTTAATTTAAATGCCGGAGGAAACTTGAATATATTTCTACCATAATACACATCCACTTCAATTCATCACTCATATTCTATGTACACTCTAGATGCTATAGATGAAATGTATTCTTTCAAATAATTATCAAAAGTAGACATTGGAAGCAGAAATCATGTGGAGAACTATATTTGTTTTAAATATTCTATGTTTACATTATAAAAACAAGCATATTAATTTTATCTGAAGGATATTGAAAAATAAAAAGGTAAGTGAGTTAATAAGTAATGTTAACTAAAGATAAACATAAAACATTTAAAGAAAGCAATGGAAAAGTACAAATGAAAATTATAAGAATTTTTACCACATCAATCCATGAAACTAACAAAGTTCTAGATAAGGAGTTAATAAATCAAAACAAAGATAACAATAATCCAGCATTTATGAAGTGGAAAAATTATTTACTTAAAATTTAAGGCAGGACATCTGTAGAAATCTTTGCCAAATATGCATTCTCCAGGAAGCACACAAAAATCTTTTTGTTTTTGTTATGATTTTTTTTTTAGGTTGATGGAATGTTTCCACATATACCACCAATATGAGAAAAAATGATTACTGTTGATTTGAAGCTTGGTAAGTTTCTCTATTATAAATCAGTTCTACATTATTACATTTAGGTAATTCTTTTACCAGGAACTCTTTTTCTGCCAAAATAGAATTGTAGTTCTATGACATTTTTGAGGTTTAGTTTTTATTTTTACCACTAATTGATCATTTTGCTCTAATTTGAAGGAAATAATTAAATTGAAGAAGCCCTGAGTTTAATTTAAATACAAACAAAAATATATGAGTTTGTCATTGTGATATTTCAATCAAATCCTAATCCTGAGAGACTATATTTAAAAATTTTGAGGATATGTTCTTTTAGGAATCACTAAAATATTTCTTGAAAATTCTCAATTGTATGTGTTGTAAATGTGAAAGGGTTTAATTCTGCCTTTCTGTATTTTGGTATTAATAAACCACAGTTGCAGGCACATCATTTGATGATAAATATTGTTGAATGCAGAGTTGCAGATATTTCTTTTCGAACCACTGATTATTTTGAAAGGTCTTTGTTCTCAGATTGTAAACTATCTTTACTTCATTTTGTCAAATGAAATTCAATGGCTTCCTTTTCTCTTCTCCTTTTAGAGGTATGAGAATTTTAATTTCTGCTCCTCCATCTGCTTTCTATCTTCCAAATTTGCTTTGAATCTTTTGTTGCCTTTAGTCCACTTGTTTATTCTTCTTTTTCTCTCATGTTTAGACCTGTATTATGATTTTAGTTAGATGGCTAATCTGATGCTTTCTTTGGGTTAAATATTCATGAATCTGTCTCTTTGTCTCAATGTAGATGGCATTAGGAGAACATGACAATTAAAAATAGTAAGTCCAGTAGCAATCAATAGAAAGAAGCACAGACAAAATTGATTTTCAAAGGAAAGCACCAAGTGCTGGGCTGTGGCACAGGATCAAAATTGCAGTCACTGGGACAGCACTTAACAAGCCTCATCTCTTAAAAGACTGGAAAACCAGAGAATTTTATAAACTAGTACTGGTTTGTGATCTATTTGTTTTATACATAATATGATTTGTCAGTGCTTATATGATATTATATTCTATTGATGTTCCATAATTTAATGAGTCTAGAAGTGTTCAACTTAGAATATTAAACAATGTCTAAACTACTTATAAATAGTTATCATTTAAATGGTTAACATTTGAAGATAATCTTTCATGGAATTTATAGTCTAGTAGAGTAGATAAACTAAAAAACAAACCAAACTCACTGCTATCGAGTTGATTCTAACTCATAGTGACTCCTCCTTGGGTTTCTGAGATGGTATCTCTACTGGAGTAGATTTCCCAGCCTTCCTTCAGTGGAGTGGTTAATGGGTTTGAACCACCAGCCTTCTGCTTAGCAGTCAAATGTCTTAGGCACTACACCACCAGAGCTCAGAAATAAAAATAACATTATATTTACATTTACACTTAATTTTTCATTTACTTATATTTCCCTCCTTTGCCAGTGGGCTAGACAATCTCCCTCCGAATAAGTTATTAGCTGAGCACAAAATTACTGCTGGTCTAAACACAGTTTTTGCTGGAATTAGGAAAAGGTAGCCTTTCCACCACATGGATGAAGCTTTATTTGGGGGCCCATGGTTTGTTGAGCAGAGTGTGAGTGTATATTAGCTTCCTCTCTCCCTCTGGAACATGCAACTTTGTAGAGAGTCAAAACTCAAAAAACCAAACTCACTGCCATCAAGTCAAGTCTGGCTCAGCTATCCCTTTGGGTTTCTGAAGTGGTAAATCTTTATGGAAGTAGATTGCCTAGTCTTCCTTCTGTGAAGTGGCTGGTGGGTTTGAACTGCCAACATTCTGCTGAGCAAACAAATGCCTTAGGCACTATGCCACCAGAGCTCCTTTTGTAGAGGATACAACCTGCAAAATCATACTATGGGAAAGCTAGACTATCCTCTCATCTTCTTCTCCTCTAACACTCAAGTATTCTCAGAGCTCTTCTGGCCAAAAGAATCTTTCCTGGCAGTCCCGCCCAATCATTATGACAGACATGCCCAGATGTATTTGAGTCCTTGTATCAGATGAGTCCAATTCTAAATGAGTCTAATTCTAGATGAGGTTAATTCTAAAGCTGGGACTCCAGATACTAATATAATGTGTGAGCAATAAAAATATAGGAATATAGGATCAACCAGAATAAAGAAAAGGAGAATTTGATGGGAATATCTAGCATGTTCTATAATGGAGAAAATTCATTGGGGAAACTTGTGAAGTCTAAGCTGAAATTTAAAAGAGGAAGGAAGACAGTGTATCATAATGTGTGTTTCCTATACATACAAAAGAGCTTATGAAATATTTCCTAAATGACAGAGGGCAAGAAGCTGAAGGAAGATCACATTAATTAGAAGAGAAAGTTTTGCATGCATGCATCTTTCTAATCTTTAGAGTTCAATTTTAGAGAAAAGGAGCTTGAGAATCAGGATTTAATTAGTATGTCCAAGGTCACATACTTGCTTAACTTCAAAGCCCAGAACTATTTTAATATATTCTGTTACCTTTCAGATCTTTGGGAATCCCCTAAACTCTAGTGCATCAGAAATTATTTTACCTTCACTGTACCTCTGACTTCAATTGGATGTTCCATACTAAGACTGCCTTTGCCACCTCTATCCACTAAAGTTATAAAACAAGATATGATATTAACAAATAGACATACACTTCAGTTTCAAAATTTACCAAAACAAAACAAAAATTAAAATGTGGGTATGAAAATGTATACATATGGCTCCAGTAGATCAAATGCAGAAACAAGGAGTTATAAGACCCAATAGGGAAAGGAAACAGATAGAGGAGAAGTCAAGGTCCAGGGAAAACAGGGATGGATAGTCCACTGACAGAGAAGATATATGAGAGGAGGTTCTTTAACATCCTGCTACTTCGAAGATAAGCACAGATAAGATCTGTGACCTCCATTTACATTTATATTTTTATTTATTTATATTTCACTCTTTTTCCTGTATCACCCAATTTGGGCTAGACAATCACCCTCTGAATAAGTCATGTAGCTGAGCACAGAATTACTGCTGATCTAAACACAGTTGTTGCTGTAATCAGGAAAAGGTAGCCTTTGCACCACATGGATGAAGGCTTACTTGGGGACCCATTAATATAGTTCATTAATATAATTCAGGGTCCAATTATAAACAAGGTCAGTATGGACAGCTAGCCAATGTAACTGTTTTCTTAGCTTCAATTATTTTGGTGTTAATCATCTTGAGTTAGATTTATCTTTCTAGAACAAGACTTATTTTTCGTCACAGTACAATTTAAAGTCCTCAATAAATTGCTACCAACAGAATAGAGTACAAGATATTTTGCAGTTAAGGCTGTCCAGAATCTAACCACATCCACAAACATAAACTTAAAATAAACTTTCCTCTTTTGCTTCAACCAGTTTGTACTATCTTTACAGTCAAAAGAGTCCTTCTTAAAGAATTAATCAAGTTGCCTTACATTTTTTTTCTTCTCTCACATATATTTAACTTCCTTGTTCCTTAGTCATGATCACTTACGGTAGAGACTCACACCAAAAATGAAGTCTATCAGACCACAACTCCCATAAATTCTTATCCCACAACCTGCAAATGAACTTAAATCTGCACCTATACTTTCCCTGTTCACTCCAATGGCAAAGGAACAGTAACTTCCTCCTGTACTCCTACTTCCCCATGTTCTAGCTCCCATATTCTGAATTCTATCCCCTAATTTTTCAGCACTTCATTCTATTACTGATTTTTCATGTTCCCTCCATCTTCAATCTCTGTCTGTGTCCACCACTTGCCAACTTCAAGGTATACAATTCACATTTTAGCCTTTATGAACAATGTCCCCTAGAGATAAGTAGGCCAGAGCAGTCAGGTGCCATAATCCTGTCTCTCCCTCTTTATTGTCTCATTCTGTCATCCGTTTTTACCGTATTAAGAAAGAAAAAGAGAAACAGAAAGAAAGGAAGTGTGACAGAAGAGGGAGGAAAGGAGAGAAAGAAAAGGAGGGAGAGAGGGAGGAGGGAAGGAGAAAGGAAGGAGAGAGGGAGAAGGATGGAGGGTTGAAGGAAAGGAGGAAGAAGCGAGGGAGGGAGGGGAAGACAAACTGAGAAAATAGAAGTAGACTTATATTTGTCCTGGTCTCCATTTCCTCTCCTCCCTCTTGTTTCTGTCCTCGCTGCTCCACTGAAACTAATTTCACCAAGGTCATTATTAATGACTTCTTGTTAACAAATCTGAAGGATATGTTTCTTTGCTCCCTTAATCTCTTCCCAGCACTTAACACTAAATTGGCCACTGTTTCTTCCTAATAAACTCATTCCTTCGTATCTGTGATACCATTTTATTCTTTTTCCCAGTCTATGTCATAAATATTACTATTCTTCAGATATCCATCCTTGGTTGCCTGCTTTTCTTCATCCCCACTCTCTTCCTGGACCATCCTATATCCTCGTGTGGCTTCTCTTATGTGTTCTCTGAAAAGTGCCCATCTTTCACTCTTAAGTCAAATCTCTCACCTGAACTTGCACCCTCTCTTCTCTCACCTTCCATATCCAACATACTAGCAAATTCTGATGTTTCTTCCTCCAAAATGTCTCAAATATGTCTCCTGTTATCCATCTTCACTTTCTACCTTCTTAACCTAAGCCAGTAGATTACGTGCCTGAACTCCTGTTGTCACTTCTTAATGGGCCTCACTGATACTACTCTTGCCACATTACAATCCATTCTACTCAACAAAACACCATTTCAAATATTACTATATCAGTTTCTTATTTTAAGTCCTTCAAAGATTTTCCAGTTCATTGCTATGAAATTCATGACCTATAACACCTAACGTGCTTGCTCACTGCTTGCTCTTATGACATCATCTTCTTCCACTCTCTCCCTTATCCATTAAGATTCACTGGCCTTCTTGAGTTTCCTCAAAACACCCAAGTTGTTCCTTACTCTGGGCCTTGGCATTTGCTGTCCCCTCTACCTGAAATAGAGGAGCTCTAGTCATGTAGTGGTTAAGGCAGTCAGCTGCTAATCAAAATGTTGGTGGTTCAAACCTACAAGTTGCCTCACAAGAGAAACATGAATCAGTCTGCCTTCATAAAGATTTATGGCCTCAGATACTTTATGGGGCAGTTCTACTCTGTCCTAAATGGTGGTTATAAGGTGGAATTAACTTGATAGGAGTGGATTTGGTGTATTTTTCTACCTAAAACACTCCTACCCCAACACTTAATTATTCTCCTCATCAGGTGTCAGCTCAGTTATTGGCTCCTTGGGGAAGTGTTCCCTGACTCCATAATTTAAATCACTTTCATCTCATTGTTCCTTTTTTATTTTCCTTAGAATTTTATTATTCACTAAAAGTTATCCCATTTATTTATTTGTTTATTGTCAAACTTTCTTTATTCGATTATAAGATCAATTAAAAGAGAAATTTTATCAATCTCTGCTATATCCTTACTGCCTAGAATAATACCTGGCTAATAGTTGATACTGAACATATATTTAAATAAGATTTAGACAATATACATAACTTTCTGCTATACATCTCTACTTTGCTGTACTATGGCACTTCAATCTCAGCTTCCACCACAAAATCACTTTTCCTTCCGTATTTGAATTTCTGTGGATGGCAGTACCAGCCACCAAGTTGCACAAGCTAAAAAAATTACATCACTATTTCTGCTCCTTGCCCACATCCAATCAGTCACCTACCCCTATACATTCCACTTGCTAATACCTCTTAGGTTTTCCTTCCTTTTAGCTATATTAGCACTGCTCAAGCCCAGATTACCATCTATTCTTGCCCAGAACATGGCAAGCTTTTGCAAATATTCCTAAACATGTCTTTTTCCACACTTATTCCACATTACCTTTCTAAAATGTAGACAAAATCATATAACTTCTCTATTTAAAATATTTTATTAGCTCCCCATTTTCTTCAAGATAATAGTTTTGACAACTTTAACATTTTCTCAGTATATCAGAATGTTGGTTACTGGTGCACTTGTGAAGAATTGATTTCTTTATGTTGAAATGTAATCCATACTGAAGTCTGTAGTCTTTGATCTTCAACAGTAAATTCTTCAAGTCCTGCCTGCCTTCAGTAAGCAAGATTGTGTCATTTGCCTATCACAGATTGATAATGAATCTTCCTCCAATCCTGATTCTGAGTTCTTCACCATATAGTCCAGCTTCTGAGATTATTGGCTCAACAAACAGATTGAATAAGTATGGTGAAAGGATATAACCCTGATGCACATCTATCATGATTTTAAACCATGCAGTATCACCTTGTCCTGTTCAAAAGATTGCCTCTTCCTCTATACACAGGTTCCACATGGACATAAGTAAATGTTCTAGAATTTCCATTTTTTGCAATATTATCCATTGCAATGCATTATGATCCATACAGTTGAATGCTTTGGCATAGTCAATAAAGACAGGTAGACATCTCTCTGGTGTTCCTAGCTTTCAGCCATCTGACATCAGCCATGATATCCCTTACTCCACACCATCTACTAAATCTGGCTTGAATGTCTGACAGTTCCCTGTCCATGTACTGCTGCAACAATTTTTTAATTATCTTCAGCAAAATTTTACTTGTATGTGATTTTAGTGATATTTTTAAATAATTTCCACATTCTGTTGAATCAATCACCTTTCCATGGAGTGGTCACAAATATGGATCTCTTCCAGTTGGCTGGCCAGGTAAATTTCTAGGTATAGAAGAGTAAGCACTTTCAGCATTGCATGCATTTGTTGAAACATTAATTTGTATTCCATCAATTCCTGGAGGCTTATTTTTTTGTCAATGTCCTCAGTGCAGCTTGGACTTCTCCCTTCAATATCATTGGTTCTTAATCATATGTTACCTCCTGATATGATTAAATGACAACCAATATTTTTTGGTATGATGGCTATGTATTCCTTCCTTCTTCTTTTGATGGTTCCTCTGATGTTTAATATTTTGCCCTTCAATATTGCAACTTGAGGGTTGAATTTTTTTTTCAGTCCTTTCAGCTTGAAAAATGCCAAGTACGCTCCTCCCTTTCTGTTTTCTAACTGTAGGTCTTTGTGCATTTCATTATAATACTTTACTTTGTCTTCTTGAGCCACCATTTGAAATCTCCTGTTCAGCTCTTTTAATTGCCATACTCTATTATAAATGTATATTACTTTTATCCATTTTCCTATTGATGAAAATATTTGTTTCTATTTTTTCTTGTAATCAATGCTATGATGAACATTTTTTAACATGATTATTGACTCAGTCTTAACTCTTCAATCTTTTCTTTCAGCTCTCTCCCTGTCACTCTAGATTCTTATCATAACAATGTCTTTCATTTCCTCAAGCAGAACATCACCCACTGACTCCTGACATTTGTACATTTGTACATTTGTCCTTTCACTCACACATTCTTGCATATCTGTAGCTCAGATGTTACTGAAGGCATCACTGTGATGCCTTCTCTAACACCCTTAAGTCTGGTTAGATTTTCCTCCTATGTATACTGGTGTAGTGCCGAAGGCACTTGACTGCTAACCAGAAGGTTGGTGGTTCAAACCCACTAGGCAATTCTTGAAAGGAAGATTGGGCAATCTACTTCCATAGAGATACAGCCTCGGAAACCCAAGGGGCGGGTCACTATGAGTCAGACCCCACTTGACGGCATGTAACAACAACAACAACAACAACAACGTATGCTCATAGGCCCCTGTATTTCCAGTATCAAAGTTCCCATCACATGTATTTTAATTGCTTGCTTAATTGTCAGTGAGAGCAGAGAAAGAAGAGAGAGGATCTATGTAGACAGAAAGTACAGAACACAGAACTTGGAGTTTAAAAATAAAACAGTGCTCAACAGACATTTTAATGAATCAATAGAGACTGATAGAATAACTCACTGTTCATGCACAATAATTCTTTGCATATACGTGTGTATATATTTTAATAAACTATTTCTAGTCTTATGATAAAGTGTAAATTTAATTATTCTTAACAAATTTTTAGATGTTTTTTTCTAAGTCCTGAATTTAAAACCTCTGTGACAAATATGAAGGAGCTCTGGTAGCATAGTGCCTAAGGCACTTGACTGCTAACCAGAAGGCTGGCGGTTCAAACCCACCAGCCACTCCTTGGAAGGAAGATGGGCAATCTACCTCTGTAGTGATACTGCCTCAGAAACCCAAGGAGGGGCCGCTATGAGTCAGGTCTGACTCGACCGCACATAAAAACAACTACAACATGACAAATATGAAGGAGCTCTGGTGGCACAGTGGTTAAAGGACTGCCAACCAAAAGGTCAGTGGTTTGAACCCACCAGCTGCTCCATGGGAAAAAGATGAGGCAGTCTGCTTCCATAAAGATTTACAGCCTTGGAAACCCTATAGGAGCAGTTCTACTCTATCCTATATGAGTCAGAATCAATTCGATGGCAGTGAGTTTGGTGTTTTTTTGTTTTTGGCTTACTGTTATGTAAAAGTGCCTGGGCTGATTTTAAAGTCACATTTTATAATGTTTATAATGTTCAGTGTAGGTAAACCACATAGGCAACACCCCTGTCAGAATTCACTTTTAATGAGGGTCATTTTTTATTTGGTTATTTGCATATTACAAAAACTGCAAAGAGGCAAGATGTGTTCAATATACTGAGAGATCTAAATATAAGAGCTGTCCAAAAAGGAAAACCTTCGGAGTTAGCAAATTCACTGCCAGTTGACCTGAAATGGAATGAATTTTTTTCAGACATCTGTGTTATTTTAAACTCCATGATTTAATGACTACATGGGTCAGATAAGTTCTAAGGTCACTTATAATTCTAAATGCCTATATTTCTATAAAATATTTGAGAGATAAGTCATTTTATCCTCCTCTTTCTACCCCACCCCCACCAGTGGGGATTTTTTCCTATTAACTTTAAGAGCCTATCCTTATTTTTTATATAATTATTTTTTGTAATTTTGTGTATTCTTTGAAAATTGACTCTAGCATTCAATTATTTTAAATGACTAAATTATACTAATTATATGCTCTATTTCTTCAGAAAAATGAGCAGGTGGACTTGTTGGTTTTGTAAGAAGTGCAGAGATGAATCTAAGAGGCCTCCTTCAAAGTAAGTACCTCTACTTTCTATAGCTATTATAAAGCACATTTACTACATGATAAATAGATGTATTTTTATTCAACTGCTACCTTAATGTATTTTGTTCAGAAAGGAAAATTTACATTTACAGAAGAATAAGCGCACCAGAAGAGCAATCAAGTGTTACGAAAAGATGAAAAGATCATAGGATTACATTTTAAAATTCAGTTCACTTGAACTCTCACTATTCAGGCTTAGTTTTTCATACATTACCTCATCATTTTTTGTTATGCATGGCTTACACTCCAAAAATCAGCAAGTTAAATGTTTTTAGAGAGTTTAACTCACTGCTGTGGAGTTGGTCCAACTCATAGCAACTCCTCCTTGGATTTCTGAGACAGTATCTCTAGGGAAGTAGCTTGCATAGTCTTCCATCAGAGGAGTGGATGGTGGGTTTGAACCACCAGCCTTTTGGTTAGCAGTCAAATGTTTTAGGCCCTACACCACCAGAGCTACTTTTAGAGAGTTTAGTATGAATAAAATTATTAGACTTAAATTTTTTTCATATTGTTTATGTTAATGATTCTTTGGTCCAAAATATGTTCATGGTTCAAAACTTTTCTGTATAGAGTGCTACAAACTTTTACCCTAGAAGGAACAGGTGAGACTAGAGGGGTAATCAAATGCTTACTTCCAAGACTTTTCAATATCTTGACATACCTAAAAATATAGCCATTTCAAATCACTGACTTTGTGGTTAGCAGCTGATGCTTAACCAGTGCATCACCAGAGCATCTTTGGACGGAAACAATGACTACTCAAATGCCTGCTGAAGGGTAACAAACATTTAATTGTGTTTGTTCACCTCAGAGAATTCTTAGAGTGAGTCTCTTTTGGTTACTTACCTGATCTAAAGAAGCCATGGTGGTGTAGTGGTTAAGTGTTTGGCTGCTAATTGAAAGAAAAGTGGTTGAAACTGACCAGCCAGCTATGAAGGAAACATGTAGCAGTCTCCTTCCATAAAGATTTAAAAGCCTACGGGGCATTTCTACTTTGCCCTATACAACAGTCTCTATGAAATGGAATCAACTTGATGACAATGGGTGAAGACTTCAGTTTCTGGCCAGATCTACTTCTTACAGTCAGAGTTGTTCTCACGCATGTTCCTTCCCTGGAATACAGAAATGTCCAAAACTGCTTACAAGCCACTGTGTGGCAGAAGAGAAGGTTGCAATGAAGGGGTCAGGAGAAAGTAAGACTAAAAGTTCAGCATTTTAAACAATTAGTTGAGGCTACTAAGCATCAGTTATGACCAAGGAGAAACACATAACAGATTGATTCAGGGACAGTTTCTTTCCCTTCTCCTGATCACTTCCAACAGTTTATCCATTTATTATATTTCTTGTTACCTGCCACAAAGACTTACCTCAGGGAAGGGGAAAAACAAGCAAAGGTTTCAAATTCACAGCATGTTACTAGCTAACAGTCAATTGATAGGTGCTTTACACTCACTCCCAGCTCTGGTGATACAGTGGTTAAAGGACTTGACTGCTAACCAAAAGGTAGGAGAAAGGGGACTGCAATCTGCTTCTGTAAAGATTTATAGCCTTGGAAACCCTATGGGGGAGTTCTACTTTGTCCCCCAGGGTCTCTATCAGTAATCTTTACCTAATTTATGTGCATGATAACTTTGTGAGATAGATATTATCATCCCCCTTTTATAGATAATAAAACTGGGGTAAGAAGGTTTTAACTAACACCCAAAGTTAGTAAATACAACACTGTGATTAGACCCTCCCCCCAAAAAAACTCATTGCCATCCAATTGTTTCCAACTCACAGAGACGCTCCTTAGGTTTCTGAGGTGGTTTCTCTACAGAAGTAGTTGCCCAGTCTTCTTTCTGAGAAGTGGCTGGTGGATATGAACCACCAGCCTTCTGGTGAGCAGTCAAATGCCATAGGTACTGCACCACCAGAGCTCCCTGATTAGAAACCAGGAGTGTCGATCTTCAAATGCTCTTCATTCCTCTTCCCACATTGTTATGACATCTGAAAATGCTCCCACCATGTATTGCTCAGAAGAAAGGAAGGAACACAAAACTGGAAAATTTTTATGAGGGAAAAGGGGTGGATGGAAGTGCCAAGGTGTTTAGAATAATTATTACAAGGATATTTGCAAAGAAATTGATGGGATACTCAAAAGAATATTAGAAGGTAAATGGGATTAAAACAACAACAAATTGCAATTCACAACTTTACCCCAAACTGTGCTAATTCCAGTCACGATTGACCTCCATAAATCTGATAAATCTTAGAAGCAAAGGAATTTTCTTACCAATAATTACCAACATCTAATTTTAAGATGGAGTCCTTGGGTGGTATTAATGGTTCACAAACTCAGCTGCTAAATGAAACACTGGAGGTCCAAGTCCACACCCATAGGTACCTTGAGAGAAAGGCATGGCAACCTACTTCCAACAAAATCAAACATTGAAAATCTTATGGAGCACAGTTCTATTCTGACACTCATGGGATCATCATGAGTCAGAATCGGCTAGGCAGCAACTGGTTTTGTAATTTGAAGATAACTCAAGAAAATGATGACATCTTCATTCATGCTATAGCCTTCACTCTTTCCTATATAATGGGAATGGATACAATAATGGACATAGCATATATAGTGGGAACAGCATACAATATAGCTTGCTCAGAACTTTCCATTTCATCAGATTGAAAGGTTATTTAGGGTACTGTTTTAAAAGTTCTAATAAGAGAAGAGAACAGTGAGTCAGACACTATTTCATGGAAATGTTTTTTGAAAGCAGTCTAAACAGCAGTGCACTGTTAAGCCTCAGTACTGATACAAACAATCCATCTAAAACTGGCAGGATCCAACTGAATTTTTAGAAAACAAAAGATATTTGACCTTTTCAGGACTCTCAATATTTTTCCATGTTCTAGACTAGTTTTTAACCTCTTTAACTCATCTTCTTTCATTGTGTTAAGTATCTGCTAATGCTGATGGCTGTTCCTTAAACTTTAATTATTAGGCTAACAAATGAACAGGGATTACTTTTACCCATAACTATTTTTGACTATATACAGTTTTTGAAAACAGGAAAATTAATAATGCATCATAAACTGAAGTACAATTAATACATTGACTATTTTGTTTTAAAAGAGAAAAAAATAAAACTATTTATATGTTAGACTATATCATCACTTGCTAATTTACAGATAAATGAAGCCCACTAAAATGAACTAAAAAGAAGCTTAAAAGCCTGTGTCTTTCACAGATATTTTCTAAATGGTAAACAATTTTGTTTATACTGTTCAAGTCAAATGCATTTTATTCACAGTAATAAAAACTAAAACCAACAGTAAATAAATAGAGCAGGACTTCCAAAAGATGACAGTCTAGGTAGATAAACTACCCAGACCCTCTTCAACAAAGACATGAGAAACCAAGTGAAACAGATACAGATGATAATCCTAGAACCCTGAGCTTCAAAGGAAAGGGTAGAGAAGTGGATCTAATACTGACTAGAAGAGAAACTGAATGAAAACCATGATTAAGGAGACAAACAAAATGTGAACTGTGAACTGGTCTGACACATCATAGCCATTTTGAATTTTTGCAAGCAGAGTTCCAATTGAGGCAGCACCTTTATAATTGGCTCTGCTCACCCAGGACTGCACAGGCACCAATATCTGTAGATAGTGAACAGAAAGGTACAATACTCTGCTTATTCCCTACACCTCATGGTACTGCCATCTCTAATCTTTCTTTTCTTTTCTTTCCCTTCTTATGTTTTTGCTTTTTTTTCTTTTTCTGGTTCCCTCTTTTCTTTTTCTCCTTTGTTTGTTTTTCTTTTTATTATTTTTTTATTTACTAGCTAGTCCTAAAGCTCTTGACTGCTAGCCAGAAGGCTGGTGGTCAAACCCACCAGCCACTGCTTGGAAGGAAGGTTGGGCAATCTACTTCCATAGTGATACTGCCTCAGAAAACCAAGGAGGGGTTGCTATGAGTCGGGCCCGACTCAACGGCACATAACAACAACAACAACAACGTTGTCTTTTTCCAGGAGCTCTGGTGGCACAATGCCTAAAGTATTTTCCATTTTCTCTTTTCGTTTTCTTCTCCCTAGTTTTTTTTTTGTTTTTTTTTTCCTGTTTTTCCCCCTCTCTCTTTACTTTTCACCTTTTCTGTATGTGTGTGTGTGTGTGTGTGTGCACATGTGTTTCTTTTGGTTGTTTAGTTTTTCTCTCTTTCCTTTTCTTTTTTTGGTCCCACATTATGGAATATATCAACTGTGCCCACATTGCCTAATCACATCAGCACCTCATGCAACCCTATCCATTGAGAAAGAGCCACTTTCTCCCTCTCCACCATGACAGATGTTGGCCAACATCAGCCCAAACTTCTCTAAGCTTCTCTACACAGACAGCAAACTATGCACACAATCCCATCCTCTGTCACACCCACCCCCACCAGGAGACACAAGATGAGTGCCTAAGTACTGTCAAACTAGCAAGCAGAATAGCAAACCCATCCCACTCACTTGAATATATCCAAACCAAATAAAGGGAAGAAAACAAAAAACAACCCTGGGTGAAACACATTAATGTACAATTGCTAAGTTAATACAAATACAACAATAACACAAAGTCTCAGAGACAATAGACAACCCCAGTTCACATGAAAAAGCAAGACAGAGTGGCACAAACAAGGGATCAAAATGAAGAGCCTGAAAACCTTCCTGAGAAAGAAATGGCATTGGGACTACCTGACAAGGAATTCAAAAGAATTATATTTAGGTACCATCAATGGATTGAGAGAAAAATCAAGGAAAACACAGACAAAACTCTAGAAGAATATAGACAAACAATAAAGAACAAACAGACAAAATGAAGGAAAATTAAAAAGATACAAAAACAACAAATAGAAATCCAGAAGATTAATACAAAGATTTCAGAAATAGATAACACATTAAAAGATTATCAAGACTGAAAATTACCAAGATTGAAAAC